CTTTTCTCACCTAGGCTGAAATTCCCAGAGTTATTAATTTCCCAGTTATGAATCTATTACTGTGGGATGGCAGAAGTAATATTATTTCAACATCTGGCAACAAAATTCCTCTTCAAGGGATATTCCTTCCCTCCTTGAGACGGAGGGCCCTAGCTGATACTCTTGACTTATCCTTTCTGGCCTGTCTCCCAGTATTCAGCTGCACACAGCACTCAGTCACACCAGCCTCGTTGCTGGCCTTTGAAAACACACCAAGTAATCATGTGTCCCTAGGCCTTGCTGTTCTCTGAGTCAGGATAAATCTGACTTCACTTATCTAAATGACTCATTCCTTCACCTACTTCAGGAGTATGTCCAGGGGCTTCCCTGCTGGTCCAATGGCTAACACTCTGTGCTCCCAATGTCGAGGCCCCAGGCTGACTAGATCTCATATGCCTCAACCAAGAGTTTGCTTGCCACAACTGAGACCCAAATAAATAGTAATTTTTTTTTTTAAGGGTTTTTTCCAAAGTTCAGTTTCTCCACGAGGCTTTCCCTGACCACCTACTTAAAATAGAAAATTTCCCCGAGCATTTCCTACACTTCTTGTCCTCCTTTATCGTCCTCATTAGTACTTATCATAAAATATGCCACATATTACATGTAAATATAATAAAAATGAGTTATCTGAGACCAAACATATCAACTAATAGGGACTTAACCCCCATATTACAAAGACAAACAAATCGGTTGATTCTAAAGCAAAATCCAACTTTTTGTTGCACATAAAAGACAAACACATATCGAAAACAAAATAATTCAGAAATGTTAATAACGAAAGGAGGCAAAAAGGTATACCAAGAAAATATAAAGAAAGAACTACTATTTTGAAATCCAATTGAACAGAATTTAGACCAAAGCCTATTACCAAGTTAAAGAGCACTTTACAACTTTAAAGGCTACAATCACAGTGAAAATAAAATATTTATGAAAGATATGCAGCAAATAACACAATAGCTTCTTTCACTTAGCAGAAACTACAAGAGATTCAAAGAGACTAGAAATACATAATAATAGCAGACTTTAGTATACTTTAGTATACTTCTCTTAATCCAAGACCAAAAATGGTACCAAAAACACTTATAATAGTTGAGTCTATAGTTACATACAGAGACATCTATACCTCAATAAATTACAGTAAGAAAAATACAAATATTCTCCATCAATGACATGATAAAAGTATGAATCCATAACAAGCAAAGCACAAGAAAATCTTCCCACCTTGAAATTTTAAGTTTTCTATTAAACCTAGCTTAGCTCAAGGAAAAACAACAACTGATTATGAAATTTTCTAGAAAAAAAATAATGAAAACATGATATCAGGGTTTGCAGGATACTGCCAAAAAGTGTTCAGAAAAAGATTCATGAATTTAAAAATTTATATCAATAAAAATGAGAGAAGATGAGTTAGATATTATACTCAAAAAGTTATACATGTTTAAGGCTTGTTTTTTTTTCCATTTTGGACTTAATTTTCTTTTTAATTAAGCAACCTAGACTTGAAAACAACCTGAAGCAAATCTAGCTGTATCAAACAGCATTTAGCACTTTTATAATTCATTATACATTGGTACTGTTATTTTGAAACTGCTATATATACTAAGGGAAAAAATAAATATGCAACCATTTAACATTTGGAATCACGCTTTCCAGCAGAAAAGAGATGCAACATAAAATCAAATAGGTAGAAAATTAAATAATCTTTCATTAAAATTGGAATATCAGCACAAATTTATGATTTCTTTTTCTTTGAAAAACCACATAATTCCTACATCTTGTATTTAAAAGTCTGAGAAGTAACAATAAGCCTTTTAGTCATGAAGATCCTATGGGCACAGACTGTGGTCACCAAATACCATTTTCAGTGAAAGCAATGAAGACTCTTTTGAGAAATGTCTCATTCTAGGTGTGGACCAGTAAATGAGACTATTCCAGTATGAGACTGGGACTCAGGGTCTTCATATATCTAAGCAATAAGCAATTATAGAGGGAAATAGAGGAGATGATTCCATTTACATTACCAACAAACAGAAAAATTATCCTAGGAGTAAATGTCATAAGAACTGTGCAAAATCTATATGAGAAAAACTTAGAAGCTTTTCCGAAAGATAGAAAACTGTGACTTGAATAAAAGGAAAAATAAACCTTGCTCCTCAATTGAATAATAAAAAATTATAAATTAATGTCACTTTTCAAAGTATGTTTCGCGTAGCTAGTTTCTGTAGTGTACATGGAAGAAATAAATAAGCAAGATTATTTCCCCAAACCAGGAAATCAAAATAAGAAAACAGCAATAAGCTATTTTGTCAATAACTAGCTCTACCAGATATTGAAATATATAGTTTCTATAATTTAAAGAGTATATTATTATCATTTGAGTAGACAATCAGATTAATGGAAAAAAAAGAAAATATAGATGTAGAGCCAAGAATGATGTGAAAATTTATGTATGTGATAAAAGTGGTATCTCAAATCACTGGGAGATAAGTGGACTTTTGAAAATTAAACGCTGTTAGAACAGCTAAGTAGGTCTTTGAACTAGGAAAAAAGTGGATATAATATTACCCAAGTGGAATTCCAGCCAATAAAAGCCAAAAAATTTAACATGAATCTTAGAATGAAGACCGATTTGATAAAAAGACATTCTGGAAAACCACTGGTCTGAACTTTCCAAAAAAGCCAATGCCAGAAAAAAACAATAAGCAAAAATGGCTGAGGTAGACGTCTCAATTGAAGGAAGCTAGAGACTTGATAACTAAAATCAATACGTGATCCTTGTTAAATCATGAATTTATATTTTACAAAGAAGTATAGGGGAAGCAAGGATTGAGGATGGGGGGAACAATCAAGGAAATTCTAATATGGATTATATACTAAATTACAGAAATGTACCAATGTTTAGTGAGTTCCAACTTCCCTATGTAGGAAAAATCTAGTGATATATATCCTAACGACATACCACTGTGATCCTATTGGACAGTAGTCCTCAATGGGGGCGATTTTGCCCTCCCCTCCCCGTCACACCATGTCTGAAAACATTTTTGGTGGTCACAAGTTGGGGAGGGGAGGCGAGGGGAGGGGAGGGTTGCTACGGATATCTAGCAGCCTCTAAAGCCAGGAGTGCCGCTAAACATTGCACAAAGCACAAAACAGCGGCCCCACTCCCCTCACAACAAAGAAACATCAGGCTCAAAGTCAACAGCGCCGCAGTTGAGAAGCCCTGATGTAGGAGAATCCCTTATTCTTAGGGGATAGTGAGATACTGGGCGTCCCTGGGGGCTCAGCCGGTGAAGAATCAGGTTGCAATGCAGGAAACCCAGGTTTGATCCTTGGGTCCAGAAGCTCCTCTGGAGAAGGGAAGGGCTACCCACTCCAGTATTCTCGCCGGGAGAATTCCATGGACAGAGGAGCCTGGCGGACTACAGTCCATGGGCTTGCAAAGAATTTGTCACGACTGAGCGACTACGCAACATACATACACACACACACACGAGATATTAGGCTGAATTAAATGAAACTGTCTTCTGCTCAGTTCAAATATCCGCAATATTGAAGGGTGATGGGATACGGGGTTCACAACTGTCAAATTGTTCAGCAAGAAAGCACTGTACACGTCCTTCCGCCCCGCTTCCCGCCCCAGGCGCTACCCAAGCAGGGTCGCGCTCCTCCGGGGCGCGCTGACCGCCGGGCCTGCGCGATGGGAGGAGCCTGTGAGCAGCCACTGCGCAGGCGCCGGGTGGCGGCCGCGCCCACGCGGCGCGCGTCCAAAAGGTACAGATGTGCGCGGGGACCTCGCAGTCCGCGCGGCTGCCTGCAGCCGCGGAGAGGAGGGGGAGCTCCGCGGGGCGCGCCGCCGGCTTCTGCGCGAGCGACGACGCTGCTCTCCCCGGCCGACCCCGTCTCCTCCGCGCTCCGCGGAGGGCTGCAGGGAGCATCCTTTATCCTTGGCAGCGTCTATCCTTCGCCAGGAAGAGCCAGCTGTCTTTGGTCCCTCGTGCCTGGCCATTCCCAGGCTGGATTCTTCGGAGGTGGGCTTTTACACACTCCTCAGTGGATTCTGACTTCTGTGTCGGACCGGCCTGGGCAGTACTGCATCTCCTGACCAGGGACCGAAAGTGCCCTGGTAGCCTCCCTCCACACCCGGATTCTCGTCAGGAAGAGCTGACCCAGGTAACATTTTAAAGTTTTCAGCAGAGTTTCTTAAGGAGTCGGCAGACTTTTTCTGTAAAAAAAAAAAAAAAAAAAAAAAAAAAAGCCAGAAAGCAGGCGTTTTACGATTTGCAGGCCAGAAACAGTCGTTTTTGTCGCTTGTCTTTTTTTTTTTTTAACAATCTCATAAAAACGTAAATAAATAAATAAAACGCCCTTAGCTTCGAACTTTACAGAAACATGAGGATTACAGTGTTTAGACTACAGTCTTTCAATTTACCCAGCACGGGGGCTAGAGCTTTAGCCCCCAGTTCAACCACAGTTTTGCAGTAGACTCAGGTTCCCGGAGGACTACGACCCACCCACCGAGTGTACTGGGCCCCGCCTACCGAGGCTGAGCTTAGCATCTTTGGGGTCCCTACACCTGCAGTTCTGCTTTTCCCGATGAGTGTGGCCAGTGGTGAGTTCCCAGCAGTCAGTAGAGCTGCCAGGAAATCCCCAGACCCACAGCCACACCCTCCTTCACTCTAAAAGGGCAATCTCTTCCTATCCGGGAACAAAAACCAAAGTCCTACACTGAGATTAGATGAGTATCAACAATACAAGAAGATCTCACAATGCAGTGTCAACTGTATTTGTAATTTGTATAGCATTTTTTCTATTGATAAATGTAATATATTTATGCCCACTTTGGTAACTTGGGAAATGAGCAGCCACTGCGCAGGCGCCGGGTGGCGGCCGCGCCCACGCGGCGCGCGTCCAAAAGGTACAGATGTGCGCGGGGACCTCGCAGTCCGCGCGGCTGCCTGCAGCCGCGGAGAGGAGGGGGAGCTCCGCGGGGCGCGCCGCCGGCTTCTGCGCGAGCGACGACGCTGCTCTCCCCGGCCGACCCCGTCTCCTCCGCGCTCCGCGGAGGGCTGCAGGGAGCATCCTTTATCCTTGGCAGCGTCTATCCTTCGCCAGGAAGAGCCAGCTGTCTTTGGTCCCTCGTGCCTGGCCATTCCCAGGCTGGATTCTTCGGAGGTGGGCTTTTACACACTCCTCAGTGGATTCTGACTTCTGTGTCGGACCGGCCTGGGCAGTACTGCATCTCCTGACCAGGGACCGAAAGTGCCCTGGTAGCCTCCCTCCACACCCGGATTCTCGTCAGGAAGAGCTGACCCAGGTAACATTTTAAAGTTTTCAGCAGAGTTTCTTAAGGAGTCGGCAGACTTTTTCTGTAAAAAAAAAAAAAAAAAAAAAAAAAAAAGCCAGAAAGCAGGCGTTTTACGATTTGCAGGCCAGAAACAGTCGTTTTTGTCGCTTGTCTTTTTTTTTTTTTAACAATCTCATAAAAACGTAAATAAATAAATAAAACGCCCTTAGCTTCGAACTTTACAGAAACATGAGGATTACAGTGTTTAGACTACAGTCTTTCAATTTACCCAGCACGGGGGCTAGAGCTTTAGCCCCCAGTTCAACCACAGTTTTGCAGTAGACTCAGGTTCCCGGAGGACTACGACCCACCCACCGAGTGTACTGGGCCCCGCCTACCGAGGCTGAGCTTAGCATCTTTGGGGTCCCTACACCTGCAGTTCTGCTTTTCCCGATGAGTGTGGCCAGTGGTGAGTTCCCAGCAGTCAGCAGAGCTGCCAGGAAATCCCCAGACCCACAGCCACACCCTCCTTCACTCTAAAAGGGCAATCTCTTCCTATCCGGGAACAAAAACCAAAGTCCTACACTGAGATTAGATGAGTATCAACAATACAAGAAGATCTCACAATGCAGTGTCAACTGTATTTGTAATTTGTATAGCATTTTTTCTATTGATAAATGTAATATATTTATGCCCACTTTGGTAACTTGGGAAATGCTGAAAAGTAGATAGAAGAAAATAAAAATTCAGCATACTCCCAAGCCACAAAAATGAACTATCAAAATGTTTATGTATTTGTTTAGTTTGTCTTTTAAATGTATATGAATAGAATAACTTACTGAACTGGATTTCTAAAAAATGTTTCTTAATCAACTTTTGTTGAAGTGCAAAATCCAGGAAAGTGGTCAAATTGGAAATGAAGAGTTCAATAAACTTTCGAAGGCTAACACAAACATATCCTTACATCTACCACACAGATCAAAAGATAAGGCATACCTAGCTCCTCCAGCCCCATATTCAGTCAAGGGCAGCTTCTCCCCAAATATAACCATTGTCTTATCCTCAAATTCATAGAGTAGTTTAATTGCTTTAAATTCACATGAACTGAATTAATCAGTAAATTTTCTTTAATTTCACATGAACTGAATTAATCAGTAAATATCCTGTAATATTTTCTTTCCCTCCATATTACATTTGAGATTCATTCAGTGTTGCATGTAATGTCTTTGTATTTTGTCTTATGCTATACAGCATTTAATTGTGTGAATATACTGCAACTTATCATTTATACTGTTGTTTTTTAAATTTAAACTATACTGAGATTTAGTTCCCATACCCTACAGTTTTCATCCATTTAAAATGTACAGTTTAATATTTCTGTGGTATATTTACAGATAAGTGCAACCACTGGCAGGCACAGTGAATTTCAGAACATTTTCATCACCTCAAAACAGCTCCATACTCTAGCTATTACTCCCCTACCCTGCATCCTTTCCAGCCCAAAGCAACTACTTTTTGCCTCTATAGATTTCCCTATTCTAGACAGTTCATAAAACTGGTCCCTTATACTGATACTGAATATTGTGATTGGTTCCTTATACTGATAGTGAATATTCATGTTATTTCCAGGTTTGGAGCTGGCAATACAAGTAATAATTCTGTGAACATCATTATACTTAATCAGCATGTTATATGTATCTAAAGCTATATATGTATCGAATAGATACATATTTCTATGGGATATATATCTAAAAGTAGAATAGCTCCAACATAGATTATATACATGGTTAGCTATAGTTGATGGTGCCAAACAATTTTCAAATTTACACTCCCACCAGCAGCAGATGAGACTCTTCATTGCTCCACGCCTTCACCAACATTTGGTGGTTGTGTGGTTTCAATTTACACTCCTCGGATGACTAATGGGAAAAGAGTATCTTTTCATGTAACGCTTTTAAGGTCTTCATTTCATTTTTGGAGGGGTTGTCTTTTTCTGTCTGATTTATATATTCTAGATGTGAGTCCATTTTCATTTAGGAGTACTGCAATCACACAGATACTTTTTCTTATCTGACTTGCTGTTTAACCATCTCGTTGTTAAATGTTAATGGCTGTGAATTTTAAACTTTCACTGAAGTCTTAATTTCTCAGTCTCCTTCTATGGTTAGTACCTTTGCTATCCTAAGAAATCGTCGCCTACAAGAACCTTCTCCTATTTTTACCATCTAAAAACATGTTTTTCTTTGCATCTTCTAATCCACTAACCATGAATTGGTTTTGGACTATGGTATGCAGTAAGTGTTCATTTTTTTTTTCATGTAACTGTCCAGCTGATCCAGGTGCTTTTGAGACTTCTTTTCTCATTGTCCTGCAGTGTTACCTTTCTCATAAATCAACAGAAACATAAATCAGTACAGATATTGGAATTAATAGTCAAGGTCTTTAACCATGACAGATATATTAAAGAATCTTACTAAAATAAGATGTAATATATGAGGAAGTAGAGAATTTCAAGAAAGAAACAAATCTTTTTTTGTGAGATGGAAGTCCTACCACTGAAAAATACAGTATCTGAAATTATTTGATAGGTTATCAGTAGGTTGGACACAATCATGAAAGCATCATTAAACTTGAAGTCAGGTTGCTAGAAATCATCCAAATATAAGTGCACTGAGACAAAAATATTGTAAATAAACAAAGCATCAGTGACTGATAAGAATAGTATAAAAGAAAAAAAAGAATAGTATCAAGTGGCCTAACATATATGAAATTTAACTCCTAATAAAGCAAAGGGAGAGAACCTGGGACAGAAATATATTTGAAAAAATACTGGCAAAAGCTTTCCAAAGTTGATCAACTCTTCATTACCCAGGACATTTACTTGTTTTTAAGGAAGAGAGTGGATCCCAATACCCTAGCTTGCCATGAATGGAGTTTGGAAGTGAGCGTAAATAAACTTCTACATCTACAGAACATTTTAAAGGCACACAAAATTGGGGGAAATACCTTATTTGGTGGAACTGTCCCAAACATTAGTACACTTTTAACATAAGTTTTGCTTACCCACCAAAGCCCAGAGTACCACCCCAGTCACAGTAATACCAAAATGTCCTCCAGGTTTTCAGAATATCCCCTCAGTGCATAGTATGGCCCTACGTCCATTGAGAGCCCCCGTGGGATCTGCCGCTGCCCACTTCCCACCTCCTCATCCAATGTTCACCTCTCTGAAACCACTCTGGCATCTTTCCGCTTGAGGGCTTTGGGGACAGCTTTTCTTGCTTCCTCAATGGTCCTCCCCCAAACATCCATATGACTGATGCTTTTCTCCTCCTCAGGTCTTTGTTCAAACATCATTTTCTCAGTAAGACCTAGAAATGACACGAAACAAAACAGAAAACTTGCATGTTCATTCCCCCATCCCCAGTTTATTTTTTATCTGTAGCCTTTATTTGAAATGCTATATATTTTAATTATTTAATTTCCTTACTGTCTCACCTTCCCCTATCGTAAAATACAAGTTTCAGTGAAGAGGGAGAGGAATTTACCAATTTTGTTCTCTGTAATGTCTTCAGTACCTTAAATGAGTAAAAATTTTAACGATAACATTTTTCTCAGAGATAGCATGTGGGCAACCTTAGTGTAGTCCTAATAACCCCTAAATCTTTAAAGATATTCTTTCAGTGTTTCATGAATAAGAAAGTCCTGACAGTACTCCAGTAATTTTTACATTTTTAAAGTATGTTTGAGTGTCTTAGAAAAAAGGATTACAGTGCTAAAAGCTCCAGCTTTTTACCAAAGAGAATAAGAAATGTGATATGGTTGTTTCCAAAGCAACAAAAAGCTTTACCTCATTAAGTAGACGGAGGGCTTCTCCTTATTAGATTGAAAAATCCAATCAAATAGCTGAGGGCTGCCTCACAAAGAAAAAATACTTAGAGCTGTCATCACAAAGAAATTTGCCTGTTCAATTATAAGCTAATTTGTACCAACTTTTTTTTTCTTCAGGCATTCAGGTATCAGGATCAGTGATGAACTTTCAAAAAGAAAAAATATGGAAAAATCATCGAAATTGTCATAATCTGTGCTCCCAACTAAATAAGTGTTTCCTTGTAGCATGTGCAGAGTCAAGGGAAATTACATTCCTGTATTATACAGTCTGCCAACAGCCTATCTGCATACTGTCTTCATCTAGACTATTCTTGAAAGCACACCCTGAGACAAACGTAGACATATTCTACTTGGAAATGTGGTCCCAGGGAACAAGGATGAGACAGAGGGGAGAAAACAGGTGGAAAAGGAAAGAATGTCCAAGCAAAAAAGGCAGTGTTATTGAGTGCCTAGTGCTCTTGGCTGCTTAGTGCAGAACCTTCCCAGGATCCTAATTAAACTGTGTCTCAGGATTGTCTGCCTGAGGGATGAAAAGAAGCAGCATGTATCTCTCAGCTGACATCACCTGTGTGCTGAGGCCGCTCCCACGCGGCAGCAACTCCCCACCCAGGAGAGCGTCACTGGTGCTACAGCATCGCGTGTGTCGCAGCAGAGAAGCTTCGGGACAGGAAGCTAGATTCTTGCTATAAGCCTGGGATGAGGCACTGTCAGCGCAGAGGCGGGGGCAGCCTGCCCGGAGCTGTTCACCAAAGGCGCGGCTGGAACTGGAGGTGGGAGAGATGGGAGCCAGTGCGCAGGAGGCATCTCAGCAGCCTGGAGAACATGCTGTTAGCCTTGCCTCAGTCTATACTCTCTCTCCTTTCCATCATCACAATTGCATTGTCCAGAACAGAGCTTGGCAGAGGGCTAAATAGGAAGGCCAAATGTATTTCCTAGAAGCTGTATGTTAATAACAGTTTTAACCTTGAGTAATGCTCATAAGAAATAGAAAGTGACACTCGAACTTGAAAAAACTTAAGTTACTCCACTTGAAACATTTTAGCGTTGGATAGCAGTATTGGGTATCCTCTAAGTTCATGTAATCTGAGATGTAATCATAAATTGGAGAAATAAAATCAACCATTTCTTATATTTCTATGAGCTTTAAAAATCAGTGTCATTAGTTTCTCCTAAGACACTGCCTTCTGTTGTCACATAGCACCAGTGATGTAGAAATCACAACCAATGAAGGGAACACTGGTAGAAACACAGGAATGAAAAATGTTGGCATAATTTCCATCACATAAAGGGTTGGTATTAATATAGGTTGGAATCAGGGCAGGGGATGGGGGATAACTGCACATTTTGATTTGGGGTTCCTCTTTGAAGTTCCATTTTACCAGAAAAAGATTTTCTTTCTGCCTACATCCATGTGATAGCATAATCATCCTCTTTTAATCTGGTATAGAATTACCATCAATAGGAATAAACTTTTGAGTTACTTAATATGGCTTGAGTTCCTACTGTTTGCTGTTTGTTAGCACAGTATATGCATGTTAGACATGAAACATTACATCCAAACATTTCAGAACGCACGCTCATTTAAAGTATCAAAGTGTTAGTCGCTCAGTCTCGTCTGACTCTTTGCAACCCCGTGGACTGTAGCCCGCCAGGCTCCTCTGTCTGTAGGATTCTCCAGGCAAGAATACTGGAGGGGGTTGCCATTTCCTCCTCCAGGGGATCTTCCCAACCCAGGGATTGAACCCAGGTCTCCCACATTGCAGGCAGACGCTTTACCATCTGAGCCACCAAGGAAGGTATACCCAGGATGCTTACCAAAACTCATCATATGACTGATCACAAATCATCTGAACAAATCTCAAACGACTGACATCCTATAAGAGTACGAAATCAGAAATCAATTATATAAAGGTAAAATAAATTTTTACCAAATGGTAGTAATGTAAGGAACATACCACTAATGGTCACTAAGTCAAACTTTAAATCAGAGTGGTATTTAGAAAATATTTTGAAATGAATTCTAATGAAAATACAACATATCAAAACTTGGTGGGATGCTGTGAAAGCACATGCTTATGGGAAATTTATATCTCTAAATATCTAAGTATCTTAGAAACTTTACAAAATGGTTAGCTGTCAAAGTTTCAAGAAGCTAGAAAAATTGTGTGAAGCAACTTTTCAGACACTGGACAACCGGAAGCAAAGGACTGGTCCCTGAGCAGGTGAAACAAGGTGAACCTACCACTGTCCTGCCTTTCTGGGGTTAAGCACTCTGGATCGCTTTGCAGGAGGAGGAGCTCGAGCAGAGCAGAGGAGTCTTGCTGAGTTGAGGAGACAAAGATTGGTATTGAATGGAACAGATGTCTTTTGAGTTTTCAAGGCAGAGTATCAGCAAGAAAGAAGGTATGCAGAGAAAGCATTCCCAGAAATTAGCTTACACATCCTTCTGTGCCCACTGCTAAATACTAAACAATTCCCCAAACTAGCATGAGAGCAGGAAATATTTAACTTCCATCCAGCCATAGTGGAGAGTCCTCACAGAGAACTCCTAACTTTTACTCGGCTCTCAGGAAGTTACACATTACATGGTACCTCTAAACTAGCCTGACGATAAAGTCTACACTAGACTTGCTCAAAAAACAAGCCTCAGTAACATGAAGCTGATCCTCAAGACCCTCCAAGAAGCACATGTAAATATGGGATTCAATTTATAAGAGATGTACTTGGGGAAATGCGTCTAAGGGTTGAAAAGAGAGGAAGCCAGAGGAGCAGAGTCTTCAGACTACCTAACACATCTACCCCTTTGAAAGAAAGGAAGGAAGGCTGAGAAGCAAGAGTCCCAGACTGAAGCACAGTTCCAGGAGGAATCTCACCAGATGTCAGCCGAGAGGGCAGTGTCAGTGGAGAAGGCCGTTAAGCAGAAGAACAGCTTAAGACATAAGAACAGTTACGGAAAAGGGAACTGCTTTCTCCACACACCTGACTGTGACTTGCAAGCCCATGCTTAGTGTAACACCACCTAGCACTTGCTCCTCATTTGCTGGGAGTACTGTCAGCAGGCAGCCTATAGCCGTCTGCCGTCCTCGGGAACTGCCTCAGCCTCAGGGAACTGCTCCACGGAGGTCGCCCCCGTTGGTGATGTTGCCCGCATCCAATGACCTACCAGTGCAAGATGACGAAGCTGTCCTTTTGCCCATCTCAGGACAACTCTGAAGGTCATTCCAACCCCTGATTGGATTGTTGGATTTGGATTACAACACAGTTTTTCCTTCTATCCATTCCTGCTGCTTTCCCTCTTTTCTACAAATACTGGTTTCTACAAGCACTCTGCTTAATAAACATCCTGCAGGTTATGCTTCATCTCAGAGTCTGCATCCTAGAGAACCCAGGCTGAGATGCCCCACTCCCCATTGTCTGCCCACCAAAGCCTTTCTTCACCGAGTATCTAATGAGCACAAAGATAGGAAACATTTTGATGCTGGTAAGTATGAGTGTGAGAACTAAGTGCTTATGTGGGATGTGAGGGAGGGGGGTCTGAGCCTGAACACCAGCCCATGAGTCCTTTGCAATTTGAAACCAGGTCAATATTGAGATGACGTTGTTTGGTCACTAAGTCATGTCCGATTCTTTGCGACTGCCTTCACTGCAGCCCGCCAGGCTCCTCTGTCCATGGGATTTCTCAGGCAAGAGTACTGGAGTGTGTTGCCATTTCCTCCTCCAGGGGATCTTCTCAACCCAAGGACTGAACTGGTGTCTCCTGCATTGGCAGGCACTTTCTTTACCACCAAGCCACTAGGGAAGACCCTTGTCTGATTCTGAAAATGCTACAGAACCCATTAGCTACTGAGGCGGATGGAGAAGATCTAAATATTGTGTGACCTATGCAAATTTTCATTTATCCTGTAAAAATGCTAGAAGTGATCAGTGAGGTTGGATGAAATGCAGCCATTTTTGTCTGACAAATACAAATATTTTGTCTTCACTGCTGCCTTGGGATATTCAGTGGAAGAAGAAAAAGTATAATGAAAGCCTTTGAAAATCATTTTCCAAGAAATGAAAACTAGGCAGTAGGACTTCCACAAAACTGAAAACTTACATCTTCAGAACTGGAGAGTCTATCCTAAAAAAGTCCAATGAATTATAAAACACTTATTTAAATATTTGTGTTCAGCAAGTCACTGACTAATACCATCTCAAGATGTATTATTGGGAAAAAAAGGTCTAGAATAAAGATTTGTTACAAATCTTTGAAATAATCATTTTTGTATTTTAATACTGGTCTGAAACAAGGCACTGGCTTGAAAGACTCGTACTTAAATGATCAGAGACAGTGAGCTGCCCGACTGCATAGCCAGCACCGAGCAATGCCCAGATGAGGTGAGGTGTGCACAGCCTCTGCAAACATGGCTTGGCGAGGAGTCTGCCTCCGCTCACTTGAATAAGCTGCTGTCTATGGCTCACAAGGGTCCCGTTCTTAATGAGGTGGTGCATAGCAGCAGCACGCTGTGAATCCAAATAGCAGATGGCAACGCTGTTGAGTAGGCTGGCAGTCTGATGTCTAGCAGCCTACTGGCAGCAGTCATTATTAAACTGATTCATGTGCCCAGGGAAAACCTGTAGAAGACTCTCGGCAAATGTGAGCAGTGAGAAGCAAATGATCTGTCTGCTATTCCTACCTTCTATGGATACCTATATTTTAAAAAGTATTATTCCCCAAGGCACTCTCCAGCAAGAAGTGGCATGACGTGTGAACTGGAGGCCCTACTCCTCTCCTATATACTCATGTACCTTTAAATATGATGGCCATGATTTCTCTCTCCAGTGAATCACCTTAACTCAAAGGAAATAGCTTCATAGTATTCACCCTATGGATTTAACGGCAAATATTCAATGATATGTAAGCACTTAAGATTTTCTAAATAAGCTTCCATGTAAATGGTATTGCAAATGTAATAACAACATATTCTGTCTCACATAATGAAGCAGTGGCCTTTGTTCATGATCCATTTACCTGCAGCAGATAACACATCCCTGGGTGAAGAGCTTTTTATTATCACAGTTGGTTAGGAATGCTGACTAAGAAAGCCACTGACTTTATTTATTTAGTTTGGTCGCCCTAGCTTCACTCTCTTTGCACCAAGGTCAAAGCAGCTCCAGGTGTGAGGGCTATTAGAGGCCAAAGTGCACAGTAGCTGGGGGTGGGGTGGAGAAATCCACTGCTTTAGAAAACTGTTATCATCTAAGGATTTTACACACACACACATTAAAAAAAAAACAAAAACCTTGAAACTATTTGTTCTAAAAATTCTGTCTTTACAAATCAAAATGTTAAGTAAATGCCATTTTTTTCTTTTCAAATGTTAAAGGATCTGCTATTTGTTATAAAGCCAATTTCTATACCTCTATATATTAATAAATTAGACTTAAAGGTGAATAGGTATGATGATATTAATAGCGGCACTACAAAAGCTCAATTTGAATGTCAGCCACCTTACCAAAAGATAAATATGGTATTCTCTTTTAGAACAGATGAGTTCTAGTGATCATGAGCTAGATGGAAACTCATTGCATAAATTTGTATGTACCAAGTAGCTGTTTTCTAATTTTCCAGGCAAGAATCCTGGAGTGAACTGCCATTTCCTTCTCCATTCTAATCCCCCACCTTTCATTAAAGCTGCTCTTATCAAAGACATCAATGATATCCATCTTGCCAAAATCAATTTCATTCTCACACTCGAACTTACTCTAACTTCCAGAGGCATTAATGCGATCGATCACTACCACCTCCTTGAAACGCCTTCTTGGCCTGATTCCTAGAGCGGTGGTGCACCTGCCTGATTTCCCTCTGCTGCTTCAATGCACTGTCAGTCCCCTCGTGAAAATCCGGACCTTGTGACATCTGAATAGCCTTAGACATTCTCTGCATGCATTCTGACATTTGAATGAACTCAGACTTTCTGTTACGTACACTTGAATGAGGGCAGGCACTGTGTCTGATTTACAGCACACGGTGAACACTCAGGTACTTGTTGAGGGAATGAATGAAGACAGGAACAACATACGGTTTGATTGGACGAGTGTTAAGTACAATGATGATGACCTGGAATTAAATGTTTCCTAATGTTATTGCT